GAATCTGACAAGCAAAGGAATGAAAACTTCATCCGCGCTGGGTTGTCAGTCATCCTTACATTTTCATGACTGAGCGCCGCTTTTGGCAACATTCTTTTCATGAAGCCTATTGCGTAGCCTAACTCAGGTTTCCATGTCATCAGTCAGGAATGCTTTATTAGTTTTGTTCTCCAGTATGTCATCTCCTACTTCCTTCCTTCGAAGCGGTACTCATTTATGCATCTCGAGAGGCAGAAAGGCGCGCTACTCGACTCTGATACAGATGCAGTACCTAGCAGTTCTGATTTGGACTCTCTACCGACCGGCGACCCAGATCTAATAAGATCGTCGTGAATATTTTTGCCTGGTAGCCGGCTCAGACAAGAATTCTGATTCTCAGAAGTCCTCTGTTATTTCTATTCGCAACTCTTCCAATCGACCCATGCACATTACCTGATCCGGAATCGAACGCAATTCTGGCATTGGAGGCTGCCCTTGATCCACAAAGAAGCTTTCCACGGACTTCGTAGATCAGCTCTACTCGACCGTGGCGCATCTGTGCTGTATCGCTCATAGGAGTACAGCCAGCGATGGCGAACATTGACAGCGTCAGTAGAAACACAACGTATGCATTCATCTTAACAGTATTAACACTAGTCTTATTCATCAGCGAAGGCCGCATTTATAAGCATTTATCTATGTTAGTAAACATTTTCGAACTCTGTTACGAAATTGTGCTGTCACCCCTGGCCATGCAGAAATCGGCCAAAATTGGATGCTGCTCAATAATTGGCAATCGCTGGTTGATTTGCTACGAAGACTATCAAAACATTGCCATATAATCAGTGTTCAGGTTTTCCTTCACAGATGGGGAACAAGGCATACATCGCTTGATTACGGATCGGTTATATGTGTCGTGTCGCACTACAGATACTGGTTCTTTGAACTAGTTGAATTAACGGTAAATAGCAATAATTACTGCCGTCATTGAGCTTCAAAGCATGAAAGGCTGTTTGGGTCATAGACGAGGTGTTACGGAATCAACAGTTTGATTTATGACAACTGCGCACCATCTAACGTTTATTAAATCTGTGCTTGTTTACCCATGAACGGCATGGCTGTTTTGAAACAAACGTGTTCTCCAACGTGATGGCACTATTCAGTCGGAGAAGCGTCTCGGGGAAAAAGAAAATCGTTGTCGTAATAATGTGGGCTCGAATCCCCACTGGGTACGTGGCCTTTCATTGTTCATTCGTTACGGATGTCGGGATAACTGGCTTAACTAGAGCCAGTGACTTCAGATGTCGCTTCGCTCCAGCCCGCAGGTTGAAGCGCTAAGTCCGTCACCTGCGAGAGCCGCTTTGCCTTTCATGTTCGTAATCCACACACCATTGATGCCAAGATCTTTCTGGGTCGAATTTCGCCGTATCCACCTCATGTCACCCTCCGATGATGCTACCCAAAACAGGGAACGGCTTGTAAAGTTTTAAACGCAGTCTCTTTAAGGGGTGTCTGGAAAACATGTCCAAGTCAACGCAGCCAGTGTTCTTGAATGACAGCTGAGATTCTGGCAACATTGCAGTGGTTGAGCATTTCTGAGTTCGACAGTTTATCGAGGGGACACATTGGCAACAGGTTACAGAAGCACCAATAACTGAATAGTTAAAACTCTCTGATGTCCGCCCGGAGCAGCCTACATTCACAGTGGTAAAGTAAAACTGATCTACAGTCGCTTGCAGGGACTTTTGTCCTGAGGCTGATTTCGCGACTCCTTCAGAAGTTTGCTTCGCTTAAGAAACACTGCAATTTCATTGGCCATTCGATAACAAGATCTTCGAGATACTTGAAGACCTAAAATTCTAAGAAAATGACTGAGTCAATACTGATTGACTGTTTTTCTTGCCCTGATGTGAATAAAGTAAAGATTTTTAGTCTTGAGCATTAGCATGCAGTCTGATGCGGTGAGGCCACCTTGGTTATATACAAGAATTCTGAATCAGTTATATTACAAAATGATACACTGAAGCAGTTATTATGAGAAATTCTTGCGTCGGTCAGATTCAAACGAAGCGCCTGCGAAGTTTAGTGCAGACTTCTTGCAAACTATACCACGTCCGGTTATTCATTCATGTTCATTCGCATTCACTCCTTCATTTATAAATTCATAAACTTAACCATAGCCTGTTTTATACGTACAGTCATCGGTTTTACGTTGACCCAAAAATATTTGACTCATTGGTATGTGAAATGAAGATTGAAGTTTCAAGCAGGTCATGCTTGAGCTTACGTTGCATGTTACATATTGAACCGTCAGTCCTGTTATCGGATTTTATGAGCATGAGTCCAAGGAGAAGAACTTTGTCAAAATATTTTTATTATATGAAAAAGAAACACATATCTGCACTCTATCTACAAGACCATTCGCATTCGCAATGCTCTCTATTAATAGATGTCAAAATTTCGGCATTTCGCGTCTTCGAAAGTGCGCATTTCCAAGTTTAGCGTTCCGATGTCGAAGGCCCTCTGGCCATATGAGCCGCTGCTCTGGTCGTTGTTCAAGTAATGGTCAGGAATTCTGATAAAGAGATTTCGCTCACACCCCTGAAACGAGAAGCGCTTAGTGCGGTAAATCATAGCTTCATTAATGATCGTACGGAAGAGTCGCAGTAGTGGATAATTTTCACAGCACTCAGCCCGAGGTTCGCGTCAAAAATCGCCGCTGTGAGCGAGAAGGAACCATCCAAGCTAACCGACGTTTCCTTCCTCACGACGCCGGAGCCGTAACCAGTACCTGACACACTGTACAATCACCGACAAGTAAAGAGAGAAAACGGGGGGGGGTCATCCAAAAACCATAAGTAAATTCTAAACACGAAAGAGGACCAAAGCCAAAAATTTTACTTAAAATAATCGAACTCCTTGATTTATACAGTATGCTGAATTTAAATTTAGACTACAAAAATGTCGAATAAGGAACCATGACAGACGTAGTTCAATGGTAGCTACATAATTGGTTACAAGTAACAATGTCTGATAGATATAGTGTAATTTATGGCGCACTAACCGCTTGACCGTCTCTGGTCTTTACTTAGAAATACTCGGATTTCTTCATGTACATCGCATCTGAATCGTTTATAATATCGTCAGTGGTCAAGCAGCGGCAAAACTCCCGCACTCTCAGTGGACGACAGTTCGACATTTTATATGCACGACTAGCTTAGACGCCAGGGCAGAGGGGACAGTCAAACCATGGGACAACTATTCTGAATATCGTCTTTGCAAGTTATGCCGTAGCGCAGCTGCACTACTCAAGGCTTCTGAAGTTGCTCTCAATACCTAAGAGCATGATTTTCTCCCGTATGTTCTACATATCGAAAGAAGATCCCAGTTGGAGATGGCATTGCAGGACGAAGTATGTCGGAGTGCATTCTCCAAAATCACTGTAGTAACTATGAATGCCTATAATAAGCCGGAAAAGAATATGGAACTGAGGTCATTGTGCATATCAGAGAGGACGAAAGCCAATCGCCTGACGACCAGCAAAAGTTTCTCGCCATATCGCAACAAAAGAGCGGCCAAAGTAACCATGTCTCTGGCAGCTCAACTGACTTGGCTGTGACAATTCCTTTAGTGCAGCAATAGGGTGCCAAGCGAGGGTCGTATTTCAGACAGGATTTAGCAAGTTAATAGCTATAATCATCTCCTGCTGAAGTGAGGGCAGAAAGCCACTTTGTTAGGTTCAAATGGCGGTTGCTTTGGCTCTTGCGATGTCTGTTCGCGACCAAAACCTTACAAAGTGCCATACTTCTCTGAGTCCTCTGAGATAGCGAAAGTCGCGAGGGCATCAGTTATGATTCACGAGGTTCGGCATCCCAAATCGACTGTCGAACAACCGTCCGAAGGATTGACTCGGTCATGGTCATGATTCCCTCGATTAACGATCATTCTATTTACAGGGAGTAAGGCAGTGAATCCGTCGGCCCAAAGTAAACCGGTACAAAACATTAAGCTAACTTTACTTATACGAATCAACTGGACTTTAGACGCAATGGCGGGCATCGATCTGCACCTCAGCGAGCCCTTAACTTCAAGCGGGCGAAGGAGTACGTTACCGTAACAGAGCGTCAACGACGTCAGGTAGTACAAAACGTAGAATGCAGTGATTTTCGACCGCCGCATTTCTAGACTGAAAAGTACACACTAAGGTTGGATGTCAGAATACGAAACGCTGTCGAACAGAGCACAACGTCTGAATCTGAACAGATTTGAATGTTGCTCTTGTTCAGCCGTAGTTACCCATTGTTGCTCGTTTCGTTTTCATCACCTTACAATCAACAACTTGCTATGGTATTAGAATTCGAACCGTTAACAATAGGCTGAAAACAAAGCCTACTCCTGTGACCGGAATCAACTGCCAGTGCTGCATTGTTTCGCGAGTGATGGTCGTCAACGCTATTGCCTATTCTAACCGTCGGTAAACAGAATGCGGCATAAACATCATTAAACGATCAAGCGCTTCGCGTGGAATCCAGGATCAATTATGGTACGGTCGTTGCATAAACCCGTTTCCTAATAATCTGATTGAAATTCATGACCGTAACTGGTGTCAACACTAACTACAGACACGACGAAATATCTCCGGTCATTAGAACACACGTGAACTTGCAGTTAACTTTACATAAGCATCTCTTACCTCAAATACTCATGCTGATTATTACCTCTTATTCTGAGAAGAGGACTCAATAAAAGAGAAAATGGAAAAAGATCCAGAGTCGTAAAAAGAGATTTAGTATCCTATTATGTAGGAGATAATGCCTCAACATAACATACGGTTGCTCAACTGCCGTCAATTGAGATTATATAAGCCACTTAGCCAATTTTTGCTCACCCATTTCTGTGAGAATGGAAACAGGCAAGTATGAAAGCTCAAAATCATGTACTTTGGAGTTGAGACTCTGATCAGCGTTTGCTGTACCGACTGAAGGTCAACTGGTAATCGAAATCTTTCCGGGTTATTCGTTCAGACACAAACAACTACCACCATACCTCTTAAGGCAACAGCTTGCTCTGCTCACTGCATGGCCTTTGAATTACCATCGCGAATTAGGCCTCATGATTTGACCTCACCACATGACTTTCACAGTAGTGGATATCGACATGAGCCTGTGAAGTTTCCTGTTTTCCTCCCTGATCCTTTGGATGACGAATTTGCACCGTGAATAACAGAGGTCGAATTTGTGAGACCACAGATTTCACAGTTTTCATCTCAAAAACTCAGCGTAGCAGAATCAGGAGTGATCAGGAAAATGTCGTACACGTTTGTTATCAAATATATAATTTTAACCGACAGGCTTTGTGCATGCATTACGAAGATTCTGGGTCATTTTGGACTTTCAGCTGCGGGTCAAACAAAAGAACCTTTGTGGTTTATTTTTGCCGAACTATTCAAATTAAATTACCATAATTATCACAAAACAGTTGACCCGGAGAATGGTGCCTATTCTGCAGTTAGGTGACAGGTATAATAAGTGGGCATGGTCGAATAAGTTTTCCGCTCGACTATGCATTCGTTTACATGACGTAAACAAAAACATGCGTAGCATATGAATTGAAAATACGATGTATTGCAAGACCATGACTTGTTTCCTAGTCCTCTGTGGCTTGTTATGCTCTTTACGACCTGGGGCAGCGGTGATACTGAAGGTCAAAGGAAGGTTCCTGTGCGGAAACCACGGAGCCTCCAATGCGAAGGTTTTGCTGAAGTCCAGCGGTAAGAAACAACTGCCAAAATTATGAAGTCAATTAATTAAAGTGGAAAACAGCATGAATACGGTCTACTAATGCATATGTAATGGCACATAATACACATACACATCTAATACATGTATAATGATGATTTATTATCTCGAGAAAAACGTAGTTTTTTGGCAGAAGTTTATTTTCGATCAAATGGCTATTTAAATTCGCCCATTTAATCATTTAAATTAATTAAATTAAGTTAATGGGTATATTGGAAAAAAAGTAATAAAGCACCGATATTTTGGCCAGTACGGATTGAACTAAGACTCGTAGTCAAAATATGGGAAACAGTGGTGTGAACCGATGGTAGATGGTGTAAATCACGAAGTTCAAACATGACGCTTGCATGAACTTATGCAATGCATAATTTCGTTACAGTACATATCTTTAAAAACTTGGAGAGCAGAGAGCAGGAAAACTGCCCCAGGGTGCTGGGAGCGCGAAAATTTCTTTTTATTTTCATTTTCCGTAGGTTTTCAGTTTATGCTGTATTTTATTCAACGTGCAATACATTTGCTGTATGGTCATGGCATAAGCTCTGATTAAATCAACCAGATCGAAAAATTGAAGAAAAATTGAACGACTCACACCAAGCAACTCAGTGAGTCATTCGCCTCAGTCTATCGTACCAAAAAATGTACCAAAAAGATACCATGTCACCAGCGCACTTCGTCGAGGTCTTGGAGTCAGTCACACTTGAACCTGTTAAACTGGTGAAACGGGATCATTGTTGACGGGGAACTTCTTTTTCGCGGACGACTGCATCGTGTTCAAACAGAAACGATGGAGCTCAAACAGAAGATCCAGCGGATGCAAGAAGAATCTCACGACACCAGGAAAATGACTGCGAAACGAGCATTGACCCGATGGTTCTGTTTACATGATTGGCGAACAACATCAGCTTTGTATACCTCAACCGTCGGATGGACCGCATTAACTCATTAGATGAAAAAAATCAGTTAAAGAATGGAGGCAGCATAGGTCAGTTTAAATCGTACTATGACCTCATTACCAGACGGCGAGCTGACCATGCAGGTAAAGAAAGAACTGTCGGTTTCAAGCATGCCACCCTCAATGATCTACGGCGTTTATTGTCGAACCGATACTAAAGGCGAAGAGGAAAAACGATGGAGCGAAAACTTTGCAAGGTGTACCTCCCAGATCGCTTTCCGAACGCACTCTTTCTACAGTGGACCGAATTAACTGAAGTGATTTCTGCCATCAACGACTTCAAAAATTGGTTGGCGACGTTGGATAATCCGAGAGATAATCAATGAGTGTCAAGAAAGCTAACCGTGTTCCGCTGGATTACAATTCTCCGCTCGGCCTACCAAGAAAACGCTGGGAAGATCCGATGGCTAAGTTACTTGGCCAGCAATGGAGGTGGAGGTAGAAAATGGAAAATAGGAGCGTAGACTTGCGTTCATAGCGCATTCATAAT